AATTCATCATTCACCGTCTTTTTTCTTCTGACGCTATATAAATTATGCTGTTGAGAAAAGGCTGTATACTCAGGAAATAAGAAGCGTGAAAGTGAAAGCGTGTTTCGACGTGAAAATGAGGCCTTGAGTTTATAAAATAACGAATGAAAATTTTAGTTTAGCGGCCAGCTTTGCTTCTTGGGAAATAATCCAGGCAAAATTTGATACGAATGAGACTGTAGCGTAATGAAGATAGAAGGGAAACAATTCATGGTCGACCAATCTGTGACAAACCAAGTTACGATATACTAGCTCAGAATGTTCCCAAGTCTGGTACAAATATTGTGTCCTGGACATTATGCATTATCTAAAAACATGGTTCCGTTTATTTTTCAAAATAAAACATTTCGGGGACTGGATTCTGTCTCTTTCTTCAGGTAAGACCTACACAGTTGGGTCCAATCGATAGAGCTAGTCGTTGTCTCTGGCCACCTGTGCCAGCACCAAAATGGGGTATATAAGCCAAATACAGCACAAACCGCCTGCGAGAACTAAGAAAATATTAAATTATTAAAAGCTGTGCATGTGCGAGGCCTTGCACCAGAGAAGTATCTCGATTGAAATCATCGTGGGAAAGAAGCAATACTCCTTATGGTACCAACACAAATAAAATAAAATTTACTGAGCCGTTAGTTCTCCTCAGGACTGCTATGTAATTCAGTCTGATATTAACTCTGTACAAGGTTTGTACATAGCTAACTGTATTAAACTCAACATCAGTAAAGCTAAACTTATATCCTTCTCCAGGAAAACCAACGTACTTATCTACGAATATAAACTTTGCCAATCGTCTATAACCCTGACCGATTCTGTAAAAACCTGGGAGTGTTTATTGATGTTAAACTGTATTTCCATGACTAGGTCAATTATTATTTCTCTCACTGTGTTAAACTTTTGAGTCTAATTCGTACCATTACTTTCAATTTCTCATCTCTAGAGTGTAAGCTCAGATTGTACACCACAGTAATTAGATCTAAGCTTGAATATGCGTCCGTTGTCTGGAATTCGATCACGTCAACTGACGCCAACAGCTGGAACGCATCCAGCAGAGGTTTGCGGCCCTCTGTTTTAATCGTTTCTTTCCTCAAGTTCATTACAATTATTCTCTTGCTCTGGAGGAGTTAAAATTGCATGCTTTACGTACTAGGAGACATCGCCTTGATGCACTCTTTCTTATTCACGTTTATTTTGGCCCGAAATTCTGCCCTTCTGTTCTGGAAATTGTTGGCCTCCGAGTTANTTTACTGAGCCGTTAGTTCTCCTCAGGACTGCTATGTAATTCAGTCTGACATTAACACTGTACAAGGTTTGTACATAGCTAACTGTATTAAACTCAACATCAGTAAAACTAAACTTATATCCTTCTCAAGGAAAACCAACGTACTGATCTACGATTATAAACTTTGCCAATCGTCTATAACCCTGACCGATTCTATACCTGTGAGTGTTTATTGATGTTAAACTGTATTTTCATGACTAGGTCAATTATTATTTTTCTCATTGTGTTAAACTTTTCAGTCTAATTCGTAACATTACTTTCAATTTCTCATCTCTAGACTGTAAGCTCAGATTGTACACCACAGTAATTAGATCTAAGTTTGAATATGCGTCCGTTGTCTGGAATTCGATTACGTCAACTGACGCCAACAGCTGGAACGCATCCAGCAGAGGTTTGCGGCCCTCTGTTTTAACCGTTTCTGTCCTCAAGTCCATTACAATTATTCTCTTGCTCTGGAGGAGTTAAAATTGCATGCTTTACGTACTAGGAGACATCGCCTTGATGCTCTCTTTCTTATTCACGTTTATTTTGGCCCGAAATTCTGCCCTTCTGTTCTGGAAATTGTTGGGCTCCGAGTTCCTGCTCGGTATATCAGAGATTTTGCTTTGTTCAGTGTCTGTCCTTCATGTAAAAATTGTCCCTCTGCTAGACGTACATCAGCTGCTAATGTTGTTTTCAAGGACGTTGACGTATTCGGAGCCAGGAACTTTCTCCTCAATTGATTCTAAATGTGGTATACTTGTTACTATTATTATTTGCACGAACATAAACTAGAATTAAACTGAATTATTATTATTCTTTCTAAATATCTATACCTTACATTTCTCAATTGTCAATAGCAACTTAGATTTGCGATAATGAAATTATTATTATTGTTACTTTGTTTGTTTCCTTATATGCGTTAATGTGTTTTTCCTCCAATGCTTAACTTTAATTAGTCTTTGATTTTATGTTGTGTTTTTGCAGTATGTAACTACTTTTATCTACATCGTGCTGTGTCTGTAATTGGCCTTGCAGCTGTTGGCTCAGCACATGAATAATAAAGAATTGCATTGAATTATTATTTGTAGAAACACAGTAGCATTAACCCATTAGCCATTGAAAATGTATCGTAGCACATCCCTTCCATATGATTTAACGCATACTCATACTTACACAAACACGGGGGAAAATGAATTCAGAAATATTAGAGTATAAATATATGTGACATTTGCACTAGAAGGGATAGAAGAGCACTAACAGTCAACAGAACCCCCAACGAACATTTCTGCTTTAGCTTACAGTATTCAGGATACATGTACAGGAAATGACGTCGGTGAAAAATATCTTCCACGTTTCTAATTAATAGGTGACAAGAATGTAAAGAGGTGTCTTTTTCTCTTGACAACTCCATCTGCAATTATTTTATGACATCTATAGGTTGTAATAACATTTAGTTACAGGGAAGCAGTTCAACGTCGGGCACCCGACGTTTTGTAACGTATCAATTTATAATTTTGTATGTTGTTAATTTAGAGCGCCAAGTATGTAAATAAATTAACATTTAGTACTCACCTGAATGCGTGTCACTGTTATTAAAGGGCAACAGTCACAGTGCAAATGATAAATAGTAAATCCTAAAAAACTATGGTAATATCCAAAAATTTTAGAAGGGATATAACAGGCTGCGGAGGTCTATAGAGTTGTGAGACGTCGAGGCTCCCACAGTTTCTAGATAATCGGTTCACGGATTGCGGTGAGAGAATTAGCCTTACACACAGACAGCCCTTTACTTCGCAGGAACATTCCTGTTACTCAATTCTCTTAGAGGCTGAGTCTACCCCTGGGCCATTGTGTGGCTGGAAGAATTAGGTCAATTGAAAATTTCAGTAACCTTGGAATTTAACCCGCTACATTCCGGCTTCTNTAAACTTCTGAACTTCACTGACATCACTGATCTTCATAAAGGTCGCCGTGTGAACGCCAATCTGAGCACTACAGCCTATATCCCGCATCACATTATATTTACAGTCTTTTTTAAGCAGGATGTTAATTTCTAGTAATGAAAAGAATAGTCCATCTGTACTTTAATTAATTCACATGTTATTTTTCATGCTAGAGGAGGGATCATTTCTATGCATTGTAAAATGACCTTACAGAAGACCCATGCATGTTACTTTGTGATATTTCCACAAATTATGCTACTCACAAGAATTACAAAGTAGAGGGAATTGTAACCCCATACAAGAAATATTTTTATTTTACGGAATTTAGATGGTGCAATGAATGGTTCGTAGAGCCAAGAAACCTCTACCATTAAATAAAATGAAATATTTAGTGATTAACTCTAATGTTGGGCATGAGCTCTCTTTGTCAGAAGCACTTACTTTTGTAATCTGGATTTATTTAATGTCCGGGACAGTCTGATGAAGATGGTTCATAGAACAGAACGTGGATGGCATGAAATGAATGCTATATATAGGGATAAACACTCCCCGTGTAACTAACGACGTACATTAATCAGAAACATTTGCCCTTCTGGTCTTCATTTGTTTAGTGAGTAAAGAACAATGAAAGGAAATTATTCCTTTATCTTTGGAACGTTAGAACGTAACTATGATGTATATGATTGTCCAGTAACACAAATTATTGATTATATTAGTATGTATGAAAAGACGGGTTCTTTAATTCAAATATATACGAGTTAAACTGTTTATTTGAATTTCAACTTCTTAGCTTTATGATAAAAACACGAGTGTATTGCGAACTCATATATTTATTGCTTTTCCCCAAGGCCTGTCTCTCTCTCGTCACCCTTTTAGTTTATGTTGTAAATGTGTTTCGATGTTTCTGTCAGTCTTTCTATTCAAATTATTTATCTAATTTTGTCTGTTTTTATCTGTTCTATTTCATACTAATGTTGTTCCCTGTTCTATCCTAATATATTGTAACTAATATGGTCTGTTTTTTTTTATTTGTTTCATTCTGGTCCGTCACACTAACAATTACAAAGACAAAAATAACACCGTCAGTGAACAGTGAAAACAACACAGCAAGCCACGAACAAACACGAACAATACTAAGAATCTCCTTTCTCAAGATAGACAGGCGGCACAGGACCAGCCACCTCCAAGAAATACAATAGGAGAATTGACACGAACCTGCATGGTTTATAATAATTTTAATCTTAAAAACAAAGTTTTTAAGAAACTTTAAAAATTTTAATACCAGGAAGGCTGCTGTGACTGTGAAAAGTTGAACATTGTGTACATTGTGTATTTCAGACATTATATGTGTATGTATATAATCTAACACCTATTGTAATAGTAGTTTCCGGAAAAAAGTATTGATGCCCTCTGAGGATGATCCGTAGGATCGAAACATGTAAGGGTGATGAGTTTTCAAGTGATAAAACTTAAATAGTCACACTGGACGGCGTTATTTTTGTCTTTGTAATATTGTCTAGTCTAGCGTAAATTTAAGCTGTTCTTAGAGATCTCATCTATGTTGATTATATTATATTTATATGTCTTGATTCAATTATCCAAGTTTAATCCACACATAGCAAAATAGGCAGTGCTGCTGTTTTATAAAATTATGACTGTATTTCTTTCCCTAGTGTTTGTTACATGCTACTAACAAGAGTTAACTACCCAGAATGTTACTAGTCAAGCACCACCTGCAGTTTGCTCCTTTTTTGCAGATATCGGACTGGAGGTTCCCGTACAAGCGTTCTTTCCACCCGGTGTGCCTACATGACAGCCGGGCTGTCAGTTCGGTGACGCTGCAAAACTGCGAGGAGGGAGTCGAACCCGGAACTGAACGTTACGAATACCTTGAAGCATTGTCATGTCGCTGCATGATCTGCAAATCTTCAGAAGCCAGCTGTGAAGGTCTACGCTACAGGGGACAAAGAAGTGGGCCATTCCTTGGAGGAGGTCGATAAAACGATAGTTACACCGTTAGATGAAATTACGTGTTAGAGACGTTAGCGACGGTGAAAAGCGAATAGGGAAAGAATTTTGTTGAGAGAAAATAAGCTTTTATTTGTTTCCATAAAATTGTAAATTGTTTTATTAATATATTATTAAACATCTGTAAATTATTCTTTTAATTTTTCAGTATAATACTTGAATTTAAATTATAATGTAAGAATATATTACTTCAATTTGTATAATATTTTTTAAATTAATACCTTTACAGTATCATTAATTTCACTGTCCTTTACAAATTCGTGTTTCATAGACTATAACCAGAGCGAGAACGAACCTGTGAAAAGAAATTTAATTGTCTATCCAATATTCCTCTGGTCTGGAAAGAAGAAGAATGCAGCTAACCAATTTGTGCAGTTATTTAACAATCTAAGCAAGGTGTATGCCCGAGTAACAATCTGTAATAATAATTTCTGTACAACGTGGAACTTAGCTTTCTAAATTTCCTAAAATAAACTGGGGATAAATCTGATCCCACGAGAATATTCTCCTACACTTTTGGCCACAAATTCGTTCGTGATTCTGACATTGGCCTAATGATATTAAATTGAAAAATCAATTTGTAAGATTGACGATAAGGATATTATCTTTTATATTTGGTCTTTATGTTTTTTGATTAAGCACGTTAATAAATAAATATTTAAATTAAATTAATTTATTACAGTACTTTAATTCCGTCAAATTTTGAATATGCTTCTGTCGCCAAGATTAACTTCACTGGTTCAGACCCTGAGGAAAGCAAAAATTTACAAACAAGAGAATGCAAGATCTTCCTACAACTGACTTTTCGATCTCGTCACTCACTCATGCAGCTGAGCCCTTCTTGAGAAGCCACAAATTGTGTAACTACTCAAGAACTTGTCAGCATTTTATGGAACCCAAGTTTCATTACCTTCATCATAAGAACCTTCCACTGATCTCTATCCTAAGCCAGATTTATCCAGTCCATACCATCCCATCCTACCTCTCTAAGATCCATTTTATATTGTCCACCCACTTAAGTCTACTGATTCCTAGAGGCCTCTTTCTTTCTGGCTTTGCCACCAATATCCTATATACATTTCTCTTCCCCCATTCGTGCTACATGTCTTGCGAATCTCATTATCCTTGACTTGATCATTCTAATTATACTTGGAGGAGAATAAAAGTTGTGAAACTTTTCATTATGCAGTTTTCTCCAACCTCCCGTCACTTCATTGCTCCTCGATCCAAATATTCTCCTCAGCATCCTATGTTCCTCCCTTAATGTCATCGACGAAATTTTCCACTCATACAGAACCACAGGCAAAATTATAGTGTTGTATATTTTAATTTTTATGTTTTTGGACAACAGACGATAAGACAAAAGGCTCTGGACTGAATGGTAGCAAGCATTATCTGAATCCAATCTCATCTTAATTTCCTCCCGAATCAAATTGCGATTTGTTAATGCCGTTTCCAAATATCTGAACTGTGCCATATTTTCCAAAGATCTCTTATCTGTCTTTATGTGATGATTTTGCCCTACATTTTGGTGACGAGACAGCAACATATACTTAGTTTTCTCTGTGTTTACTTCTATACCAACCTCTTTGCTTGCGTCAGTTAAAGTTTGTGTGCTCTTCTACCTTTACTAATAAAATATTAAAAATATAGTACCTGAAATAAAATAGTTGAAATGCTAATTAAATATGTCCAGAAATTCTTGTTAATCTCTAAGACAGAATCTGAACTTCCACTGTAAATTAACATCGAATGACGACTTACAATACCATCAGTGAAATACCTTCAACGCATAGATGAAATTTTAATGGGTATAAATTCGAGAGGATATTATGAGATTGATAAATTATAACCACTTTAAGCCAAGTAATATAAATTTAATGACCCACAAGCCCTCTCTGACGACCAATCAAGAAATCCCTTGTGTTCGTGCGACAGAGTAAGTGTATGTGTTATGATAGCCCATATACATGCACTAAACTTCGGTCTGACGGGACTGTTTTAGTCAAAGCTTCCGGTAAGTCTAGACTGGTAACCTGGCGAACAAAACACATTGTGTCGCTTCGATGTTTTGATATGTAGACAGCATTTCTAGACAACGCCCGAAATACGCAAGAGGGTTTTTCTGTGTTGTTTGCATATATATTACTAGGTAACGGCCCAATAAACATGCATTCTTGACAACAGAAGAAGGTGTTTTCCATGGAGTCTGTTCTGAGGACTTCTCTTGAAGACAATCGACGCTAAAGGAGTCCAATTGAGAATTCAGCTGTGGAGTGTTAACCAGCGAACAACGGAAGCGGAAGAATCTCCACTGCTAAGATTCGTTACCAGAAAATGTCTAGTGAAGACTCTGCAGAGGAATAGCTATTATGGAGAGCTGTTACCAAGTACAGACTAGTGAAAGTAGACTGAGAAGACTTATTTTTGAGTGACTTGCAGTGTGGAAATCAGCAAGAGTATAGCAATTATTTGTAGTTAAGCTCTGTAAGTGCCGGTCACGGTAGCCGAGCTGTCTAAGGCGTGCACTGTCTTCGCTCGCTCGGAAGCCGGAATCGTGGGTTCGAATCCCACTCAGAGCATGGATGTTTGTGTGCGTTTTTCTGTGTTTGTGTACAGGTAGAGGCCTTGCGACGAGCTGATCACCCGCCCAAGGAGTCCTACCATATGTCTAAGATCTAGAAAAACCGAAGTGAAC